TAACCAGCGCTTCTGGTTCAACATGGACACTTAGCAATATAAGGAATTTCTAATTCATCGCCTCTGGTCCTTCTAACCAGTGCTTCTGGTTCAACATGGACACTTAGCGGTATAAGGAATTTCTAATTCATCTCCTCTGGTTTATCTAACCAGCGCTTCTGGTTCAACATGGACACTTAGCGATATAAGAAATTTCTAATTCATCGCCTCTGGTCTTTCTAACCAGCTCTTTTGGTTCGTCTAGGGCGATGGATATTCAAAATTTATGCAAACACACACACAATCATGCTTTTCACAACAATTTCTTAATTGGAGCATATTTTTAATACAATCGATTAAGTTTTCTATTATATGTAAATTAAACATTGGTGATCAGTCTTTGTTTAATTAACATAATATATATATATATATATATATATATATTTAAATCACCTGAAAACTGTTTTGAAAATATTTGGTTATAGTTTATGGTTTTTAAGGAAAAACCGGTGTTCTCTATAACTGAGGCTCTGATACCAAATTTGTCACACCCCGTTAAAGCGGAAACACGAGATGTAACATGTAAGCGTATCACAGCAACAGATAATAAATAACACCATAAGTTTTACAAGATTACATCCATAACCAAGTTGGTGTTTGAATACTTCAAAACAAAGTTTACAAAATACACAAAATCATTGTTGTTACAAATATGCTCCAAAAACTTCACTTCTTTACTTATTTCCTGAAAAGCATGAAATATAAAACAACGTCAACTACAAGGAGTTGGTGAGTTTACAGGTTTTCATATGCACAAAACTATTTACAATGCATAAATCATTTCTTGCAAACTTATACATAACTTTTGCACGTAATAAATGTAAATCTATAACGATGTTTAAAACTTGAGACGCTACTGAGCCTTTCCTGACCAATGTGCCCCATTATTTTATGAACGACCATAAGTAGCCCGTATACTCACTTAGGTCCCACAGTTCGTAGCAGTACTAATTCAGCAGTGGTCCAAATTCCACATGATTAGACTAATAAAACGTAGATAATGTGCACCCCTTTCTGGGTGGGACTGTCAACACAATAGCGGCTATCCACAAATACCACGGCTCGAGGGCATGCCCGAGTTAACAAGTAGAGTTTACGGACGGGGACTTTATTTGGAAATACACTCTCAAGTACATCAACTTATCATTTATATCATAGTGCAAAACAGTCAATATTTCATGACATAAACAAATCTTGACTAAACAGTTCTTTAGTCCAACAGTTTTATAAATAAACAGTATAGTTTGCATAACATCATGCTTTTCCCCCAGTTTAAATAAACAAAAAGCATTAAAAGTGGGCCCGTGAATACTCACTTGTTTGCTGTTTTGAATATCCAAGAGCTTGACAATGCTTTAAGCTCTAATCGCCCACCCTAGACTTTCCTAAACAGTCGAACATCCAGAAATTAGATCACCTATAGGTTCTCGACAAAGATAAAGTTAAGTATGTCTTATGTAATGCCATTGATTTTTCATGATTAAAAGTTGATACTTATATCATTTGTTCTAAAAATAGTCCAGAAATTATACATTTTAAAAAAATCAAAATCCTTTGCACATAATGCTGCCATTTGGATAGAATGTAAATTCTGTTTCTGTAATTTTGGTCTCACAAATCACTGTCAAAAGGAACCTTCCATAACTCTTTTTGAGTCCAAATTTTTATATCATCAATAGTAATAAGTTAAACAGATTTCTTCCGAATATCAAGAATTTTGGATGGTTTTAAGGCACTCATTATTACCCTACAACTTTGAGTGACACGGTCCCCAAGACAGATTGCACACTCTTCGAGTGACGGTCATTTGGGGGGTCTAAACTCATCATTTTTCAGTGATTTTAACTTTATTTTTAAGCCAACACATAAGGATAACTTCCAAAAAAAGAATCACCCATTTTCATTGAGTTTTGAAGAAGATATGACCGTTTTAAAATGCATGCAAGATTCTGTCAGCATTGCTCTTTTTGCACCATAATCTTGTATCAAGAACTTGAAGGCTCAAAACGTAATATTTTTGAGTGAGACCAGTTGCATTAGAAATATAACTCATTAAAATAAGTTCTAAAAAAAATAAACCATTTTAGAGGAATAACCAGAGAGATATGGTCGTCCAAAGTAGGTTTTACCTACTGTCAAATGTGCTGTTACACACTTATTTTGTTCTAAACATTTGAAGGTTCAAAACTTCTTCATTTTACATGATTCCAGTTGGAAAAGAATCATAACTCATCAAAGTACGTTTTAGAAGAAAAATCAGAATATTTGGACTTTTATTTTGAAGGATACAGTCGACACAAGTGCTAACAGAATCTGTCAGTTTTCAAAATACATCTTTTAATGATTAAATTCCACATGCAATGTGGTTTTATCCTACTTTCTTAGCGTTCTAAGTTTGTGGATCATAGATTATCATCATTTTGAAGACATTTTCATGTCTTTGATGTATAATCTCTCCATTTGAATTCTCCAGAAAATTTAATTACAAAATCAAGAAGGTGTAGAAAATGAGAATCTTTGTTATTGAATAAAGGTAAGATAACTAGTCTATTACCTTTTGCTTGAAATCTTGAATATTCTTCAAGATTGACAGATTTTTAATGTTGTTTGAAGATGAAATCGGCTAGAGGGGTATTGTTTAGAGAGGGAGAGGTTAGTGAGAGAAAAGGTTTACGCAAAATGAGGATGAAAAATGGAAGTTTTCAAAGAATATGAAGCATTTATACGTGGTTTTAAAGAAAGGAAATGGTCTGGCCTTAATAGAGCTCAAGTCCATACTTGTTTATTTTTATTTTTATTAAAATAAAACCCATTTAAAGTAAAACATAAATATAATTATCAAATACTGATAAAATATCAATATTAGGTCAAAATTCCAAATTTTTGTAAAATTGTTTGGACATTCAAATAAAGCTTTTTATAATTTAATTTGGACTTTTATAATATCAACTTTATTTTGTTTGGAGAGTTTTAATGAATTTGGCATTACATAAGTTAACTTTATCAATTACCCATCGAAATAGGATTCTCTGAACTATATTTTAGGAACTACACCAGAAGAATTCTAATCAACATGACTAGATCCTAATATAATTCTTAATTTTTAAAAATCCTATAAAGTGCTAACCTGACGCCCAAAAATGACGGATGTCACATGTCTCGAATAGTTTGTACCTCATATATAGATGTAATTTAATTTATTGAGGCCTTTACACCACAAAAGTTCGAAAAGGTCACATTTGTACAAAGGATCATGGGCGTTGAGATTAAATCAATCAAGTGGGCGTAATGAAGCCATGTCAAATACACATTGCTGCTTGCATCTCAAATTAATCGATGCCCAGGCCGGAGAAGTGTTCGAAGCCTCCCTATACACAACATACAATAACAGATATAAGTAATGTTGCGAGTCACATCAGTGGAATTTGGAGCTTTTCTGTTTGTTAAGTGTCGAAACCTCCTTTCAATCTTCAAGGGCTATTTTGGAGCCTAATCTTATGAGTTTTACATATTCTCACGTGGTATCAAAGTCAATGTCTACCACTCACTATGGGACAAGTCCATCTAGCCTCTGTTGGAAGGGGCTAGACTTTGACCCATTCCCCTCTTTATATGAGGAACCCTCCTTTCTAGTATATGTATCAATTTTGAACTTCAAAGTAGAAAAGCGAACTATTCAGTTAACATTATAATGTTTCTTGTTTAGCATGAAATTGTGTAGTTTTGATGTCACAGGCTATGTTTGGCAAACCAAGATAGTTGTTGGTTGAAAAATTAGCTCATAAATTAATCATATTCTGATATATAAAAAAGTAGCTGATAAGCTAGATGACAATGCAACCAAAGGGCCTTTGGGCTAGGGTATCGTATCCCTTGCCTTCTAGGAGGTATGGGGTTCAAACCTCACCATAAGTGAGGAGGGTGTGTGAGTTTATTTGTTGCATTTGCCGTATATAAATATTATATACTTCAAAAAAAAGAAACTAGATGACAATGTAAAATAACCTAAAAAGATATGTTAAAAAATTAATTAGAAAAATATAAAGGGTATATTCGGGGAAAAAATAAATAGGGAATAGCCTTGGACTTATTGAAAGATGCTTGAAGCAGCTTTTTAGAAATCTAGCTTATGGCCAGCCATACGAGGATTTTTCAATAAGCTCAAAAATGAGCTAACTTACGGTTCGCAAACATAGCCTTAGAACCAAGGATTACATAACCACAACTGTAAGATAGTCAAGCTTACAAAGGGATGGAAAAAGCATGCTGGTTTAGCGATACTTACAGAGTAGTCATCATGCACACGCCAGATGCTCTCGCCAAGTAGGTTTGCTACCGATAGGACAGTCAGTTGCGGAAAATAGTTCTTCTCTGACACTGGAATGGTATTCGTGATAATTACCTCTTGAAACAGACCACTTGACAACCTCTCAATCGCAGGTGGACTGCGCTACAAACGTGCAAACTTGAAGTACATTTCATTTCATAAATGTAAATTCTACCACCAAATAAACTTTAAAAGGTTTGGCTCTGTGTATAGTCTAAAATCAGCCTCAAAATAATAGAGGTCTTGTGGGTCAAGATTGACACAATCTTTGATTTGTTATGATAACAAAAGGAAAAAGATAATATTAGCAGAACTAAAATGTTTTACCCTACTCATAGTTTAATAGAGGACTTCAAGAATACTTTGTAATGAGAAAATAGTAATCTAGTGGATCATCACCAAACTATTTTTTGTGTAAACTTTCTATTTTTTGCATATTTTTCACAAGCAAAGCGTCTTCATGGAACAGAAGTTTTACCCTGTCTGGTAGAGGTCTGGCCCACTCTCCTGAGACCCCACCTTGGGGTGGGATATACTATGCTCATTTGGTTTGATTTGATAGGTCTGCGTACATCCTACCCATCCTAGACTTTCTGAGTGGGATATAATGGGTTTGTGTGGTTCATTTGGTTTGGATTAGATCATCACTAACAAGATGATTAACTTGTAACATGGCAAGGGCAAATAGGTAATATGATCTTGAAAATTCACCAAAATAGAAAACAACAATGCAACTTAATAGTAGACCTCCGAAGATGGAAGCATTGCAGTTTTTTAAGGGACAAGGTAAAAAACAAGATGAGGCGAAATGATGTGAGTTACCTAAAAACAGCATGTGTGCTGCATGCATAAACTTCCCTTGCCCCTTCATGATGCAACAGTGCTGCTCCTTTAGAGATAGTACCTATAAACCCAAAAACAATCATAAATCACATATAGATTTCCTTAAGACTAGACTATGAGCTAAGTAAGCCTCTCCAGACCATACAAGTGTGTGTCAATGCCATGCAAAGGGTTCGACTAAGATTTGCCAAATTACACCAAAATGGAATCCCAAAAAACTAATCATATAACTTGTCTGTCACAAAACTTAAGTATCTTTTACCATTTCAATGGGAGTCCTATTATTTATGATACTTGTACTTTGGTATATAGTTATTAGTTTTACCGGAATGATAAAATATATGCATTTAAATTTTAAACTTGAAACCAGTAAACTGACACTGAAAAGTGAAAGCATTATAACTGACAGAAGGCCATGGGAGTAGAGTGGGTTATTCAGGAGAACAACCTTTTGATGAACTTTAATTTAGTTTTAAATGCATGAACTTTTGAAAGCTTTAATAACATCACTACTAAACAGAAAATGCCTTAACATCTGTTAGATACATGCATTTAAAAAAAACTATGAAGGTTATATTCTTCTAAATAACCCGGATTAGAAGGTACAGGGTTGAGGGTATTGGTTGTTAATGGCCAAAAAAAAATTAGGCATCAGGTACATAATATGCTATTTTAAAATTTTAAATTTTTTACCGGTAAGCACTTACCGGGTAAGTGTTTGATAAACGGCTCCTAAATCGGTGTCTTCATTATAGTTATCGATGACCTCTAGCCAATAGCCAAGAGGGGTTTATACTACCAATTTGCAAGAAACTGGAGTCTATTCTTGACCAAGGTTTTAATAAGCGGAAACGGGACTTGAGGCTTTTTCCGTCCCGCCTCGAGGCGGTCTGAGGTGTAAACCCCGAGGCAGAAACTAAAAGTAAATATAAATATTTATATATATATGTAGTACATATTTAATATATAGTTAAAATCATCCGTAATAGTCTCAAAATTATTCTAATATATGTACTTAGTATATAAAGATTTTATTATTAGTCAACAAGTAATGAAAATCACAAATATCAAGATAGAATTAAGGTTACATATTTATTAATAGAGAGAATTTAAGTCAAATATTTATCCATAGAGAAAGAATCAAAGTCATACATTCATCAATAAAGAGAGAATTACAGTCAATTTTAAAACCCTAGTTTCTAACCCACGCCTCATCCCTGCCTCAGTCTTACCTCAGGCGCCTCAAGGCGCGCCTCAGATGGTCTGAGGCGTACGTTTCAGTCAGTTCAGTTGAGGCGGCGCCTCATGTTCAAAATCCCACCGCCTCACCTCAAGGTACGCCTCAAACCATTTTGAAAACCATGACTCTGACTTTTCGCTTTGAACTATCTAGGAAGCGATCTTACCAATAGACATACAGCTTCAAATTTAAAAACTAATACATGGAGTACAAGGAGAAAAGAGATTTCACCAGCAGTGTCAATCATATCATCAACCATGACTGCTACTTTACCCTTCACATCACCAATCAAATTCATCACCTGCAAAGTAATATCAGAGAAATCAGGGGACTCCGAAGACACAAATGATAGGAAGATAACGTGATCTTCTTTTCTTCATGATTCTTGTAAAATTTACATCATGATGTATAAGCGACAGATGGAAGGCACCTCAATGACCAAATAGTTACAAGACTTGGAGTACAAACATGAAAGATAGGTTTAAATTTGATAATGATTCAAACATCTTTGCAACTTCAGGTTAGTGATATAATACCTATTGAAAATCAGTAAGAGTCTTTATTGTCATAAAATCAACTGTGAATTACAAACTCAAAAATACACCATACTCTTTGTTTCCTGTAGTTCTCATTGGTGCACCTTCATTCCAAGATTAGTATCATGCATAGCATATACATGTCAAGATTTAGCAATGTGCCAACAAATAAGTTGCTTAGACAAGTTTATGACGTCAAAGTGTAAATAGTAGTTTATATCTTAACAATCTCGCTGCTATATGTTCTGCTTCATGGGCAGTTGGATAATCGATTCAATTAGCCATTTATCATGACCAGTTGGGATATGAGCAACATACACCAAATTGAAATTATTAATTTGTTAAGCCAAATTTCTATTTGGGGGAATTAGTGAGTGTTGCCCTAGAGATTATGAATAGCAACAAAATAGAACTTTTAAAAACACGACCTAGAGCTTCGGGTATGCATATTGGTGCACTGCAAACATTAGAACATAGAATGAAGTAAAAGTTCATTGCAAAGGTGTGAGAAGTATTCAATAAGGCTGTATCAATATATATAATGCAATCAAGTATCAAATGATACAGGAGTATTTTATCTAATGTAAGGTTGATTGTGAGTTTGGTTAGCCATTAACCAATAGGATAATGAAAATTAAACGTGATTAATTTTAGAGAGAAGATACTCAGAAAAAGTGTAATTAGATTTGTAATTTAAGATGTATAAAGGAACTTACTTCTGCCACATTGTGCCCATGACGCCGCTTATCAACAATTGCCAATGGCGCATCAGATAATTTTTTGGCAAAAGCTCGTGCTCTAGCCACTCCACCAACATCCGGTGAGACAACTACTAAATCATCAGAATAAATGGTCTTGCTGGCAAGGTAATCAAGTATCACAGGCTAGTGATGCAAAAAGGGAAAAAAATATCAACAACTGTTACAACACTAAAATATCAAGGTAGAAAAGAAATCCAGCATGTGTATTTTAATCAAACAGTAACGAGGTAGAGTAAAACAAGATAAAATATTAGAATAAGTTGTGTAACTTAAAGTTCCAAACTAACTTCTGTTCACATTTAACAGGATTAAATTCCACATCTTTTTGGTTGTGACTTGACTATATCAGAATCTATATGCCAAACAGAACTTTAGAAACTATCAGATGATATCTCAGTACCTGACCATGAACATGATCAACTGGAATATCAAAATAGCCCATTGATTGCCCAGAATGAAGATCACAAGCAAGGACTCTGTCTGCTCCTGCTTCTGTTATCAGATTTGCAACAAGTTTAGCTGCAATAGATTCTCGTCCTTGAGTCTGAAACATCAATGAAAGAAAATAAACACAACTTAGTTTTAAAAAACACAAACCAACAGTCAACTACATAGATTATCTATGATGATGCTCAGGTTTTAACAGAACTTCTAACAGCAATAATGGGCATACATGTAATCACTAACCAAGGTTATTTTGAAAAACTGAATAGTTATTATTTGTTATGCTCTTTTCCTCATTTCCAACTTATTTAACATACATTTACTTTATATGGACAGGTTGAAATTGAAGAGAGATTTAGGGAATAACGAAGAAATCAGTAGATAACAACTTGTAGTCATTCATAGGGGAAATAAATAGTTGTAGTAAAAATGTAGTAACCATATGTAGATGATCATTATGGTGTGAGTGTAGTCTAAGTGCATGGAAAACACCATCATAATTGCCATTATTTTCCTAATATATTGAGGGAAGCAAAGACATAAAATGGATTCTGGTTTACAAAAGCTTAGTCTCTACTTGCCACAGTTTTAGGTTTGCACCTAATTCCTTCAGCTGTTCAATGTTTATGTTAGTTCAGTTATTCAAATCTTCTAGTACTATATTTCCTAAGGTATTATAGTAAAACGTAGCATACTTTATGCATATTTCTTTTTCACGCCTCGTACTTTTGGAACCACAAATAAGGAACTATACGCTATTTCGTTTCTGTTTAAAAGATCAAGTTACTGCTCCACCATTAACCAGTAACATGGTCCCTTGGATAGAAACAAAAATATAAAGTGTAGAGCCTTATTTGTGGTCTTTGAAAACATAACAATAGTAATGGGTAGTTCCTTAAATAGAAATGGAAGATGAAGTATAGGGTGTTATTTTTGTCTAAAGGTTATTTTGGTAACATTTCCCCTATATATTAACAAAAATTAAGTATAGTCTCTTGCTTGTGGTTTTTAAATGTACAAAGCCAAAAACAGAAATGGGCATAAAGTAAGTTACATGTTTACTGCAATCAACCCACTTCATAATGTCTTATTACCTTCCGATCAGCCCTTGCATATCCAAAGTATGGGATAACTGCAGTAATGGTTTTCGCAGATGCTCTGCGACATGCATCTATCATAATCAAAAGCTCCATAAGATTCTCATTTGCAGGAGGACAAGTTGGTTGCACAAGATATACATCACACCCTCTTACACTCTCACGCAATTGGACATATATTTCTCCATCAGCAAAGCGTTTAATATCGATTTTTCCAAGGTCCAGACCCATGTAACATGCAATTTCCTATCAAATAGAACAAAACTGTATCAGTATAATAGGTGTATACAAAAACATATCGATTTCAAATGAGTGATACAACATTAAAGATATAGAAACAAAGTGCTTTCCTAAGTACCAAAAGTCGATGTTTGAGTGCCAAATACAAGGGATACCCAAAAAGAACACAATGCAATCCCTATGATTGTGAATGCATTTTTTTGTTGACTCCTACTTATGTTCTGTTTCTTCTCTTAATCCTTCATCAAGATGAATCGTGTTGTGTAAAGTGCAAAAGTCATATAACAATCATCATCAAGGTTGTGATCAAACAATATGTCCTTGGGATGCAACATGGCAAGTATGTTAGGCTGAGATATCAAATACATAAATTAGTCATAGATACATTAAAAAGAACATTCACTCTTATAGCATCAATTGAAAATCACATCAAGGTAATCTGAAGTCTGATTGTGCTAAACATCCTAAGATTCCATTCAAGTTATGTTCAATCAATCAAATATACAACCTGCAAACCTAGATATATATTTCATGCAGAAGTTTCTAGTAAGGCAGCATACACGAGGTCCAATTAATTTGAGCAACAAACAGAGAGAGAAAGGTAAAGTACCTCAGATAATAAAGGATTGGCAGTGCCTGAAAAGATCCGAAGTCTATTCTCATCTTTTCTTATTGGAGTTTTCTCAAAATGGTTTGAGGTCAAGAAGTCAGGCACTGTTTCTTGCTCACTGATGAGGGTCTGTGCACCCAGCCTCCCATTTTCCTTAAAATTGACCCTGCAACTCTGCTTCCAAGACATTAGAGTTAAGAATTTCTATTTATGTTGAATTACACAAGATCTACTATACATCCACATAGCTTTGTACAATCATAAGTTAACTGCTGAAGTTACTATTAGTATGTTATGGTGCCTTCTAGTCATATACATAGTGCTTCCAGCCAATTACGAATCTGTTGCTCATGGCAAATTGAACAGTTCAATTCTTCATTGTTTATCATATCCAATCAATATGTGAACTTTTGAAATGATGTACCCATTCTTTACGTGAATGCACAGATGAGAATCAGAATCCATTTACCATGTTCATATACATAAACACAGACATACATATCATAAATACAAATTTTCAGGTGATCCCAGAAAAAAATTGAAGACGTTCATCCTTTCTTCATTTCTACGTTCGCTGTGTACTTGCTAGAAATTTCAACGAACATAAACTGAAACCATTGAGAAGAAATGAACTTCTTTAAATAAAATTTCATTTCCATTTCTGGATGCGTGTGGGACACACACAGACACACACATAGGCATAACATACACAAATAACACAACTAAAAGATACTGAAAAACAATCATCCACCGTTCGGTCAAACGCAATAGCAATATATAAGTGCATACATACATACGTACTGGAACTACTGAAAACTCGTAGAATCTTTGTAAAACGTCAAATGAAAATTTATCTATTCGTACATATGTATCCAAATCATATTTTGGAATGACCATCAAAGCGCCAATATGAAAGGCAAAAATAATCTCACAATTAAGCCGTTCTTAGCAGGGATTGAAGACCGAAACTTGTTCGTAGCTGCGACACTTCCAGAAGAAAACGCAAGGGAAGCCATTACCAATTGGTGAGAAGATGATTACTGAATACTGAATGAACACTGAGAACGTGTTAGAGAGAGAAAGAGAGAGAGAGAGAGAGAGAGAGAGAGAGGGGTGGAGGCAGCGAGAATTTTAGGGTTTTGAAAATATCTGTTTTAGTTACAATTGGTAACCGGGGGGTTGGG